ATATTAAAACTCCCTTTTACTCTTTGAGTATTTATAAAATAGTGTGATGCTATTTTAGCCAAATTCCTAATTCTATATCTTAAGAGTGGTTATCTTAAGTGTGAGTTTTAGGTTCTAGATATTTGATTAAGTGTGTCATATCTTAATTAAATTCTAGATTCAAACCCCAAGTTAGGATAAGAGTGTGTAATATCTCTTAAATACCAACTTGGTTTATCCATCCTTGATTTTCTTCCATTTCATACCTCCCCATATTCTATTCCTAAACCTCTTCTTTTTCTTCATAAAAAACACCAAAAAGAACTCCAAAAACACCTCCCTTATTTCGCCCCATATACTTCTGTGTTCATTTCATCCACAAATTCACCACAAAATTAGCAACTTGATAAGACCCCTAGTTCACCCCTAACACGAGGTGATCGGAGCAGACCCCATAGTCGCGCTTGATCCAACGAAGGTGGTGATCAGAGTGGACCCCACGGCCGCACTCGATCCAAAAGGAACGTTGATCGGAGTGGTAGCCACCCAATCCAGCCGAAACGTTCACAACCAGTGTCTTGGAACTACTCCTGTTTCCGGTGTGAGCGTCAAAACCGAATCCGTCTATACCCGCCATCGTGCACAGATATGACTACTACCTTAAGATTGTTACAATTTTTTTACGGATTACAACGGACGGGAAAGATGAACGGCCCCGGAAAATAAAAATAAATAAAATTCTGAATTTATAACTTATTCAGAATATTACAAGATAAACATAATTGAAAATAAATTTCTATATGTTCAAAAAGCTTTGTTGTATGAGGACATTAAGCACTGGACAACGAGGACATTATGCACTGGACAGCGAGGACGTTATGCACTAGGCTGCGAGGACATTATGTCCTAGGGCAGAACGCAGCGAGGTCTTTATGAACTAAACGTGCAAAATAAAACACCGTGGAAGGACAACGGAGTCACCGGAGCTGTCCTTAAGGTAGTAGTGCCCTCCTGCCGTACCCCAAAAACGTGGGCACTCTCCTCCCAAGATAAAAACGCTATCGTGTGTGAAGATTGTATGGACCAACCACACACCAACGAACAAGAACAACGTAGGAACGTTGGCGACCAAAACTTTGAAGGGGATTGCCAGAAAGTGTGTCGGAAAATCAAGAGCTCTCTCTAAAAAAAACAAGAAAGTATTTCCCTTTCTTTTTTCCCTTCCTCACGTAAAAAACCACTCACATAAAACGCACCACACAAAACAATGGAGAGCCCTTGATATTTATAACTAAGGAATTTTAACCAATGACGTGTTAATGGTGATTAATTAGTCATTAATACGTCCGTTACGCTACGCTCCGTTTAAAATTTGTCCTAAATAATTGGAGATTAATGGCCAGTTAACTCCGTAAAAATGGACTAATTTTAAACAATAAGTAAAATTAATAATAGAAGATTGGTTCAGTAAAATTGCAAAAACTGCAACCCTTAACATATTCTTCTATTGACGGGTTAACTTTGAGAAACAATTTCTCATTCACCCTCTACCATTTTTGGCGTATAAATTATCAACACATTTATCTCATTTAAGAGAACAAACATCCATTAATTAATGGTTCAAACCGTTAGTGGACCTATTGATAAATATACCCAAGTTGGTCCATTTAATGTCTATTAAAAATGCAAAAAATTCCAACAATATATATATATATATATATATATATATATATATATATATATATATATATATATATATATATATATATATATATATATATATATATATATATATATATAGGGATTGACTCCAGTGAGATGACACCTTACGGTGAGAAACATCCTACGGTCAAATGACGCAAAGCTCACCACTGCCAACTGCAAAGCTCACCAAGGACAACTACAAAGTTCACCAAGTTGTAAGGCAAAGCTCACCATATTTTTTCAAAACTTTGATTTTTTTTTTTGAAAAAATAAAATCAAAGAAAGGGGTGCTGACTAGACTTTGACCGTTGACAGAGACCTTTGACCACCACCTGCCGCCGCCGGTTGCCGGAATCCGCCGCCGCCTCCGGTCTCCGGAATCCGGCGCCGGTCTCCGGAATCCGTCGCCGGAATCAGCCGCTGCCCCGCCGCCGGTCGCTGGAATTTGCCGCCATCGCCGGTCGCTGGAATCCGCCGCCTGCCGCCGCCCTGCCACCGCTGACCGGTGGTTGACCGGTGTTGTTATTTTATTTTTTATTAATTTTAAATATTTAAAGTTAAAAAAAGGTGAGTTTTTGGTGTTCAAAGTGGTGAGCTTTACTTTATTTCTAGGTGAGCTTTGCATTGTAGTGTGGTGAGCTTTGTGTCATCTCACCGAAAGATATCATCTCACCATAATGTTTCATCTCACTGGAGTCAATCCTATATATATATATATATATATATATATATATATATATATATATATATATATATATATATATATATATATATATATATATATATTCTCAAAATAGCTATTTTCGAACAGCTGATTTTATCAAATATTTGTAACGATTAGCCAACACATCTTGCCGGTCAAACTAGCTAAACAAAGTAGTCATTCTGAACAAGTAAGACAAATAGTCAACATCCAATCAAGGCATTTGTCTTTACATTTTTTTCCCCAACTCTATGAGACCGTGAAAAGTCATTTGACAAATTAACTTTTGGAAGGAAGAAGTATTACTATTAATCTCTGCTCAAAACTAAATTTAACTTTTCTTAGTGACCGTCTAGTCAAGTCTAGAAAAACCCTTGGGATGGGTTTCATCTTTTAAAAAAACCTAAAATTAAGACTTGAGGAGAACGAAGGACAATTTCTTCGACCATTTTTTGAGTTTTTTTTCATTTCCAACAATGGTTTTTCTCCCATTCCTTCACATTTGAAGGGGTATGGATGCCCTCCCACTAAATTAATGACATTTGTATATAATCTTAGAGTCCAATTTGTTCGGAGAAAAAATATTTCATTAGAAAAATTCTATTTTAATTTTCAATGTTTGCTAACATAAGTAGTAAAAAATTATTCCTCTAAAAAAATATCTTCTCTCATATGTACAAAATATTTTTCAAAAAAAAAGGATATAAAATAGTTTTCAGAAAAAACATTTTCTCAATTATTTTATACTCAATACTCGAATCCCCTAATTTCACAAACAAAGCAAAGACATTATACGTGATCTGGTGATTTTACAATCCCCTTCCAAGAATTCTTATATATATTTTTATTCATATTTTTATTTATTTAGATTTGTCACTATTTGTTTTTATAAATAACTTTTCTTTATTATTTTTAGGCCATGGAAAGTAAACTGAAAAAATGTATAAAAAATAAATGACTTGAATTAACTTTATTTATTCAAAAAATGACTTTAATAATCAAACTATTTTTTGTTAACTTATTTTCAATTTTTTCATAATAAAACAATTGATAAGTAAATAAATAAATACTACATAAAAAATAAAAACAACTAAATAATTGTGGTGTTATCCCATTTTGCATTCTTTTAAAATCACTGTTTTTATACGTAATATAAAGATTCGGTGTCGGTGGTGTTATTTTCCATATGGCATTAATTTAGTGGGAGGGCTCAAATGTGAAGGCTTGGAAGGAAGAAAAACCCTTCCAACAAACCCAATCTACGAGATTAATATAACGGTCCCTTTCCTTATTTTCCTCTCTTCCCCTTGTCACTCTGACCAACCGTTTCTCTCTCGAGCAAATCGATTCTTAGAGGAAAAAAAGGACCAACTTTTTCATATGAATTTTCTTCTTCACCAAGCTCCCTGAATCTTCCGAAAAAATGTGCTACAATGGACCAGCGAAGGACGTTGACGATGAATTGGGACAATGACCATGAAGAAGACGATGATGATAACTTTTTCGAGCCACGAGATCGGTTTTCCTCCGTCGAGCCGGAAGATTTGGCATCTTCTGAATCTGACGACAACGACTTTGATGACGAACGCTTCTCGTTTTGCTCAGCTATCTCCTCGGCCAACAATTCCTTTGAGGAGGCTGCCGCTGCCAATGCCGCGAGACCTTGCTCTGTTCTCGCAGTTGATTATGATTTATGGTTGGCGGAGCCGGGGGACGTCAAGGAGCGCCGCCGCCGCCTCCTCCAAGGCATGGGGCTTTTGAGCAACAAGAGCATGCAAAAGATCGCTAGCGCAAAGAAATTGGGGAGGGAAATTCCAAAAGAAGCTGAACCAGAAAAGGCAGAGGATTCAAAACAGCCAAAAGAGTCTTCTTGTTCTCCCCGGAGATTGGGCATTGTTCTTGTCCGGTCAAGATCCGCCGGTGATATAGGCTCCTTATCTATCGATGCCAACAAGAGGAAAGAAGACTTGATTGGGTCTGGCCCGTTGATCAGAAACAGATCAACGGCCAGAAATGGGATGCCCCCGCCTATCCTTTTAGGAGGCGGGAACCTCAACCCATTTTTCCTGATAAAGGGGGGTAACGAGTTCGATAACAACTTGGACAGATTCTCCCCCGTTGCCGAGGAAGTGATACACAGAGCAAGCGCGTCACCCGGCAACAACTATGACCGAAAACTGCATGTAAATTCGTATCTTACCAAGAGCGTTAGGTACAGTAAGAGGAGAGGGGTTGCCATTCTGAGGAACATAAAGGGAGTGGTGATGAACGGGGAACAGAAGCCGAAGTCGAAGCCGAGCAAGCACTCATCTCAATGGATCAAAGTCCGGCAGCACGGGAAGCCGTACAAGGAGTTCACGGGCTTACATTTGTGTCAAGAAATCCACGGCCACCAAGGCTCAATTTGGAGCATAAAGTTCAGTTCGGACGCGCATTACTTAGCAAGCGCTGGAGAGGATAGAGTGATTCACGTGTGGGAAGTGCAAGAATGTGATGTCATGGCCGGGGCCACGCCCGTACATCCTGCTGCAGTTGCAAGTCCCGCCGCTTGCGCGTCTCCCGTTCATCCCATGGCTTCCTGCAGCAATTTGGAATGCGGTTCGGAGGGAGCAAACGGGGAGAGGAAGAAGAAGAAGAAGGGGAAATCAATTCCAGACTATGTGATTGTCCCGGAAACTGTGTTTGCTCTTTCGGAGAAACCAGTTTGCACTCTCATTGGCCATCATGACGTTGTGTTGGACCTCTCTTGGTCAAGGTCTCAGGTTAATCAATTACAAGACTGTACTTTTTTAAACTTGTACTCCATTTTGCTGTAGATGTAAATTAAAGTGTTGTTATAAGACTTTGTTTAATCCCTTTCACAGCTCCTTCTTTCCTCTTCAATGGACAAGACAGTGAGACTGTGGGATGTGGAGAACCAGAGCTGCTTGAAAATGTTTGCCCACAATGACAAGTTTTGTACTCCCTCCGTCCCTCAGTTTTTGTCCACTTTTGAATTTTGGAATTTTTCATCTAAGCACTTTGACTCACCAAATTCCCTCAATGTGTAAGCCTAAATATAGTCATGTGTGATCTTGTTTGATTTGTCTTAACATATAGATTATTAATATATAATTTCTATAATTTTTTAATATACAAATTACAAAATAAAATGGATTAAAGAAGTGCATTGGATGGTGTGTAAAAATGAAAGTGGACAAATACTCAGGGACGGAGGGTGTATTTTTTTTACTCATACCTTCCAAGTTTACAAAAGGGTTGTTATTTTGGATATATATATATATATATATATATATATATATATATATATATATATATATATATATATATATATATATATATATATATATATATATATATTGCATCTATGTAAAGTAGGTAGTGAGATGAGGAGTGGGTTTTGGTGTTATTGTGTAGTAACATCCATCCAGTTCAACCCAGTGGATGATGACTATTTCATCAGTGGGTCACTGGATTCAAAGGTTAGGATTTGGAACATATCCGAGCGGAAAGTGGTGGACTGGACTGATCAAAAAGAAATGATCACTGCTACTTGTTACACACCCAATGGAAAGGTGACCGACCACTCAATTTTATTTTCCCCCTTTTTTTTGGCAGTTGATTCTTATATATATGTATATGATAAATCATTGTTTTCACTCCATATGAAAGGGTGCTATGATAGGTTCACACAGAGGAAGCTGCCGTTTTTACAGTACCACTGGTACGTAATATGATGCACCAATCAGTATCTTGTTTTGTTTCCTACTGGTGTCTATTCTTTTAATAGAAAAACACAAAATTAAGGTCAATAATTTTTTACCTGGTTTTTTTTGTTTGGCAACTTTCATAAATAACTTAATTAGTTTAATGATGGTTGTTTTTCAATTTATCACTACTTCATGTACAATTATTTACAGACTATATCATACACATTATAAGTTTAAAAACATTTAAGCAAAATTTGAATAAAGGGGGAGTTAAACACATAAACTAGCTAGCCCTTTAATAATTATTCTTTCCATACATACATACATATACATCATCATTTTGAGTAATAAAGCTTGTGTGCTGATCTTTGTTCTGTACTATTGTGTCTTAAGATTGCAAATTGGAACAAAAAGATCAGTTCGATACACAAAACAAGAAAAAGTCCCAAATAAAAAAGACTACAGGTTTTCAGGTACTCTATAGGATTTTGTGTGTGTGTTTGTTTTATGAGTTCATGTAATATAATCTTGAATGGTTGGTTCGACCATTTTTTTCACAGTATTCACAATGGAATTCCTCAGAGGTCCTCATTTCCACAGCCGATTCGAGCATCCGAATCCACGATGGATCAAGTTTTACTCACAAGTTTAAAGGTCACCTTTCACTTCCATGACAGAAACAAACATGCTCTTAAATATTACTCTCCCAAATAATACTTTGTTTAGTTTTCTCCATTAGTGTTCACATTATGACACTTTTATGATGACAAAACTTTGATCAACATCAATGACTTCACTCAGGTTTCCGCAACACAAGTAGTCAAATTTCAGCTTCGTACAGCCCAGATGGGAGGTACGTGATAAGCCCGAGCGAAGATTCACAAGTGTATATATGGAGGAGAGAAGAGTCTAATAATAAGAGCGGAGCTGGTGGGAAAGGCAAAAGGCTCACCATCCATGCTCATGAGCATTTTCCATGTAAAGACGTTTCGGTGGCCATTCCATGGCCCGGCACCATGAACTATGAACCACCAGTTGTGCAACTCCATTCCAAAAGGCATTCTAAGCGCTTCCTTCCACCGCCATCGCCACTCCAGTATGGATCACCTAGCAACTGGGCCTTCATTGGTTCTCCTTCAAATGAAGATGAGGGATTGGTGAGCAAGAGGCATTTGCCTCCACTGCCGAAGAGAAATGACAACAATGCGTCTCATCATGAGAGTAACAACCATATTGACGCTGAGTTTTCTGGAATGGATGACCATTACTCTATCGGCTCGCCATCACCGTTTTGGTCCTCCAGGCTTGATGGCGGGGCCCACCACGGCGGGAACACGACCATCCAAGCAATGGCGTGGGGGCTTGTTATCGTGACAGCAAGTTTGGGAGGCCAGATTAGGGTGTATCAAAATTTTGGATTGCCTGTGAAAGCCACTCGGCAGACAAATCTTTTTAGAGACCTCACATGAATGAAATGAGCATATGATCTGCAAGTTCCATATTTCTCCATTTCATTTCACCAGTAGAGGTAGCTCAGGACTAGTTGATAGATTGATCTTTAAGGCATGTTTGTGAATTTTCTTGATGATATTGTTTGTAAATTGTAAATCTTGATTAAGTGTTTTATTGCGTAGTTAGTTCTTTTTCGCGTCTAATCTGTGTTAGTTACATGTGATTCTTGCCTCTAATATCTTAATATATGGGAACATATTCTTCAATTCTGTCACACTTCCCAAAACAAATTAAATGCCACGTTATTTCAATAAATGGTGTTTCACGGGTCAATACCACTTTGCAGCATCCAAGTAACAAATGATCAAAATGCACCTCTACTTGTCAAAAATATCAAGTCTTTAATTTTTTTATTACAATTCTAAAATATTGATTTTAGAATTTTAAATTGCAAGAGGTGTGTGAAATTATATTTGAGCTTTGTTGAAAATTAGAGATTTTGTTTGAAATCTAAATCCACAATTTTTAGATTTTCTAATATGTATTTTGGGCCAAATTTTAAATCATAAACGTCTCAAACAAGCCACAAATTCATTTCTAGAAAACACTCCGTATTTAATTTATGTAAAAGTTATTAAAATCATTTTACACTCATGTGAGTGCTTATAAATAAATTCAACAAAATTTCGTCAAGTAAATTTCAAAAAATCATTTTGAAACAATTATTTGTTTTTCACTAACAAAAGTTGATTAAGGCCCCGTTTAGCATCAACGTTAGAGATTAGCATTAGCGTTTGAAAAGCCTATCCGACAGTAGCTTTTAGCGTTAGCACTTTCAAAATTAATTTATACTATTAAAATTTTATCTAAAACGCTAACGCTAATAAAAACACAATTCTCAAACAAGGCCTGAATTTACAAATAAAAAATATTAACTTTTGGGGGTGCATTTTGATATTTATGACAAGTGAGGGTGCATTTTAATCATTTACCACTTTCTAGGGGTGCAGCGTTATTCCCCCGGTGTTTCACTCTTTTTTATTAATTTAATTGATAGGACTTATCTACAAAACAGTGATCTCTATTTGTAGTAGTTGATCATCGGGGAACTTGGACAAATTACTCCCTTCGTTCCATATTTAAAGTCCCACTTTTTATATCGGATGCTCGAAGACTAATTTTACATTTTTTAAACATAATACAGTTTCTTTTTTTAATTACGTTTATGCTCTCTCTTCTCTTAAACCTACTCATCCCTAGCTTTTTAAATCAATTATCTTACTTTTTTCTACCTTTTGAGTCATTATTAAAATTTTTTTGCTATTTCAAATATATCTAAACAAATTTATTATATCTTTGTATTTTTTATTTGTGATTATCTTTTTGAGATGGCGGGAGTATTTAGGGGCTGTTTGGCAACTTCTGAATAGATAAATGCTGAACCTGTAAGAGGTCTGAACCATTAAGTGCTGAACCAGTAAGAGATCTGAACCATTAAGAGCTAGTATATTGCTTAACTATTCAGAGGCAAATGTCTGATCAATTCAGATAAGAGGTCTTAACCATTCAGACTCTGTATAATACTTAACCATTCAGAGGCAAATCTCTTAACCATTCAGACATCTGAATCATTAAGAGGCTGAAACAAACAGTCTGAACCATTAAGTGCTGAACCATTCAGACATCTGAACCATTAAGAAGTTGAAAGAAACAACGCCTTAGAAATTGCATGGTGTTAGGGTAGAAGGATATTTATGGCATTTTGGTAGAAATGTTTCCCCAAATAAGAAGTTTAAAATTCATTTTAGATGTTTACAAATAAAAAGTGTAAAATTAATTTGGTGAAGCAAGTCTATATTTGAAAATTTGACAATGAGCAAATCGGCCAATTGCCGCCCAATTCTCTCTTTCCGTCAAATGAACTCTTTAATTACGTACGCCGTTGACGATAATGACCTCGATGACGCCGCCTTGTGGGCGGTGATCGACTCCGCTGCCGCCGCCGCCTCCAACACCTCCAGGACAACCACCGTCTCCACCGTCAAACACTGTAAACCTCTGCCTGTCAAGCATTCCCCCACTGTCCCCTTCCCCATATCCTCTCCCCAATGTAGTATTTCCAGAAACCCTAGAAAGCATCCTCACCCCGATGGCGAGGACTTCAATAAAAGCTCAAAACAAGTCGCTACGATTAACTCTCCGGCTTCCTCGTATCGCAGTCAGGAGGATACGCCCCCTTTGGCATTGGTAAAGCACGTGCAGCGCACGGCGGCGAGACCGGTATATTCTTCACCGCCGGAAACGAGATCTTCCGTTACTGAATACGGTAACTGTAATAATAGTCCCGGTAGTTCCGAGTGTTCTCCAGTAACGACAATGAACCAGGGAAGGTGCGATGATAGAACAGGATTTACAAGGCATAGCTTGTTTGGTCAGTTTCCGACGGTGGAGCTGTTCAAGGATTACCAAAATGCAGCAATGGCGGTAAAATAATATCCATTTATTCTATGTTCCTCCATCAGGTCGTTTGTCTTCAACTGTGTTTTATTATTTGACAATGTAAACCTATATCATGCTTTAATTTTGAAGGATTTACAAGTTTTGCAGTAATATTCGTGATGTGTTTTCTTATATTTGTGGAGAAATTCAAAATATCTTGGCATGTGAACTTTGCAATGACAAGGAATTGGCAGTTTCACTTATCAAATGTACTACTTCCTTCCCCAAAATGAAGTATCTGTTAGAAGAAAGTTCTAAAATAACTGATAGAGCTTTGAACCCTTTGATTATTATTTTTTGTAATTGTCCGTATTTATTTCATTGGAACTTTGGGAAAACTATAACTTTGTTGTCTATATGCACGCGCCAAACATTAAAACGTTGGTGTTTAGGAACATGAGCATAGTTTAATCAAAAGCTCTTGCTGAAATGGACTTTTAACAGATTTTGGAGAGAAGTGATTACACAATGATTTCTGGAAGCCCTTATATTAAAAAATCAGGTAAAATTTCAGGTCCTCAACCTTGAGATGTTCTCTATGTATCACTGGGACTAAAATTTTGCCCTCAACAATGACCCCGTGTTGGTATTAATATGACATTTGCCAGGATGGAGGAAGATCTCTTTTTACTTCAACCTGTCTTTTGAAATCAAAGACAAGACCATTGAGTTTGATGAAAACCGAAATGTTGTCAGAGCAGAATTTGTGGCTCGGGCGTACATGCAGTAGGTGTTTTTTTTCTTTATGTCTGCTACTCACCTACTCCATACTTTAGCGCATTAGGTTTGCCATTTCATTTTCTTCTTCTAAATCATTTGTATGCTTTTTATTCCCAGGGGAGGTAGGTTTTCAGATGGATGGGGTTCATGTGAGCGGCGTGAAAAAAAGTTTATGAAACCAAATCATGACATTCCAAGTACAGCAGAGACCAGGGCTAAAAATAAAGCTTGCCAGGTTGAAATAACTCTTTGTTTATGTATTAAAAAAAGACCTCTTTGTTTATACTCTTGTTACTCTAAACACTGGATCTAATAGAGATCTTCTGAATCTGTTTCCTGCGTATGCTCTTTCTTTTCCTAGTTTATCTCCAATACATATTGACTATAGTAACTATATCACTGTAAACTTCATGTCATTGACTCCACATTCATACTGGTTACTGATTAGTGATTCATGAAAAAACTACATATATAGAATAATTGAAAATGGATTGATATGTGTTTAAGTGTAAGATACTAATTAAGCAACAATTGACATAGCGGTGTATGTATTTCTCACGTTTGTCTTTGTGTTGACCTGTGCATGCTAGATATGACCAGCTTCTATCTTTTTATTATAAAGACACTATTTAAAGTGAACATCAGTTTGTACTACATAGTCTTTTGCATTCCTGGTTTTTTAGATTTCCATCTATTGTGCATTTGTAGGATCTGCTTGGAATCGGGGAATATAGGTCTGGTGCCAGCCGTTCGTAGTAGTGTGGATTACAAATATTCCCGAAGTGATTACCCTCAAATTGCCGATGTCTCTAATCTGTATGGACCTAGATGAAATCTTAGGCTCATGGCTCATGAGTTTCCAACTTCCTTATTCGCACACTAAATTCCCTCTTGTAGTCAGTCATTCCTGGGTAGTGTGTACTATCGAATCGTTTATTGAATGAATCTGTTTCATCGCCCTGCCGGACAGTGGGAGGAATATGTAATGACATTATTGTACCCTTGTCTCATTTAGCATTTGGTTATTAATTTGTCAGCACAAATGCATCTACTTCGACCTGAAACACAGTTTAGTTTCAATGAGGTTCCAGCGCTCTTGTTTCTCAAGAGGTTCTAGTTTGAATGAGGTAAAATGTCTCCTAGATTATTTTTTTCATTTTTTTGTGTGGTTTTATTATTCCGTGTTTGGGATGCTTCATGCTTCAGAAAACAATGTCAGCGTAAGACTAGCCTCCAAAGCAAAAAGAGATTAGCTCAATAGCTTCCCGAAATGATTTGCTCTTTGGAATAATTTATTCTTTGAATTTTTTAAGCAACGATTATTGTCACCACCAATTGCCACCATCATACCAGGCTATTTGTTCTCTTGTAATTTTCTTCTTTCAAACTTGAGACACTCAAGTGTGACTCCCAACTTTGCCCCAACCTTTGCATAAACCCATAAGTTGTGATAGTGTTCATTGTTTGTGTCTTTGTGTAGGCGGAAACAAGTTTGACTGTTTGAGATCACACTTGGGGTGTCCCTGTCATCGTTTTGCAATTCATTTACTTCATATATCTTTTCATCTCTACAAATCTAAAGCACTTTCAAACATGGTTCTTACTTCTATATCACCGCCAAATTATAGTACATTAAAGCAAACAAATTGGAGTTGGTACACCATACAGCTGGGTGTATTTAGATTTAGGTACATCCGGAAAATATGCTTAGACTAAAAATGAGTACAATCATATAATAGAATGAGTACAATGTACATCCTTTTCTATGCAATTTGAAATCAAATCACAAACATGATTTGTAAACTCTCATCAGACTACACATCGTATCTTGACATAGCAAAACGAGTACTAGTACAAGAAGAATTGACATACGGAGTATTTAGTACCGAAATCAATGTAATACTACTCAGAAAACAAATGAGTATCAAGACATAGGGAAATGTGTACTAGTACACCATAATTCAATTCATCCTAAACCCACGACCCTGTACTTGTTGGGTTTGTGGAGGTTTGGGCTTCACTTTTGGCCCGGCCCATTTTACGAAACCCTAGATGCACTCTTCCTATATATATATTGCATTCTTGTACTTGTAATCTACACCACAAGTGAAATAAGAAAATCCTCCCGTTGCAGCCGTGGATTAGGGAAACCGAACCACGTTAAATTCTTGTGTGTCGTTTGTGTTCCGTTTCTCTCTTGATTCTCGCAGATATTTGTGTGTGTTGCGTGTTTAATCCCCAACAAGTGGTATCAGAGCTAGATTGTTCAACACGAGCACAAATTGTGAGAAAATTTGTCACCTAGGGTTTGCTATTGTTGGATCGTTGAAGAGTTAGCCGCTTCCTTTTGCACTCGGACACGCAGCAGCGAAGGAGATCTGCCGCCGTGTGGAGGAGTCGCCGCCGTCATCGATAGCAGATCCAGACTCGCCGCTGCCGCCATCAGTGGTCCATCGAGCCGCCGCCAGGTTGAGGAGCCGCCGCGAAGCTGCGCCGTTTCAGATCTCGCCGCCGCC